ATTCAAAATGTGGTTGATTATTCCCATGGCAGAGTTGTCCCTATCACACCAGTGGGTACATCTTACCTGACAAGTGGTGATAGCATAGTAAAATTTTTAAATATTTTATTATTTTTATTTTATGTGAATGAGTGTATTGCCTGCATGTAAGTGCACCAACGTGTACAATACCCGTGGAGATCAGAAGAGGATGTCAGATTCCCCTGGAGCTGGAGTTATAGATGGTTGTTAACTACCATGTGGGTCCTGGGACCTGAACCCAGGTCCTCTGGAAGAGCCACTTAACCACTGAGCCATCTCTCCAGTGTTGTAGTAAAGTTTTCTGGTCACCCAAACTGCTCCTGAACTCACAATCCTTGTGCTTCAGCAATCCCCCGACAGAGATGACAAGAGTGTAGTGTACCGCCATGCTTAGCTACAGCTTTTATTATCTACAATGTGACTCCCAGGGCTGGGGCTGTAGCACAGGTGGGTGAGCCCTTGCCCAGCTCTGCGTAAACCAAGAGTGATGGTTTATGACTGATTATAATCCCAGCACTTGGGAGGGGGAGGAAGGATCATTCTAGCTACTTAGTAAGCTTGAGGTCAGCCTGGGCTACATGAGACCCAGCTCAAAAAAAAAGAAATAGAGAGAGATAGATGATAAATACATAGATGATAGGTTGATGATAGAGAGATGAAAGAGATGACTGACAGATAAATGCACACACACATATTTAACAACTGTTTAGCCAGACACCGTGGCACATGCCTTTAATCCCAGTACTCTGGAAATAGAGGCAGGTGGATCTTTGTGTGCTCTTAATCACTGAGCCATCTCTCCAGATCCCATTCAGTATCTTTTTTAAAAAAATTTTTAACTCTACGTAGTGAGTTCCAGGCAAACTAGGGCCACAGGAAGACCCTGTCTTAAAAAAGAAAAAAAATGTTTAGAAATTTTAAAAAACAATCATTTTTAGAGAACAACATGGAAAAGTGGCCCTCAGGACTTTCCATGACCAGTACTAACCAGCCTTAACCATACCCAGAGTACCCAGGCTTGCCCTGAACATTCCCCATCTACCCACCTGGCTGGGTAGCCAGTCCAGACTGAAGCAGTGGGCTTTCTGTATCAGCCTCCAGGTCAACAGAAACAACAGCAGGATCACCAGCATCAGGCTATGCAGACAGGACACAAACAGGTCCCTGCAAGTGGCCACAGACAAACCCAGGGGCTCGCAGGCACCTAGACGCTGCAGGGCCAATCTCACCGTGCGGGTGCAGCATAGCCCAGTTGTGTATGCCAGCCGAGGTACCCAGAGCAACACCCACAGGGGGGCCCATAGCACTGCCAGCCAAGCCCGCAGGGCCAAGCCCATAGGGCAGATTATGATTACTCCTAGAGGTGGGTGGGCCTGCTCACTGCCAGAGCCCCGGGCCTCCTGGGCCAGCCCCGACACCCAGTGCTGAAAGATGGCAATCTTCAACAACAGGAAATGATACAGGTGGGTGCGGTTCTGGATCAGCTACAGGAGGAGGGAACACCAGCATCACCCAGTGCCACCCATTCAGGGTGGAATCCAACCAATGCCTTAGAAATGGGGGCTGCTGGCCATTGTGGGCCAGGGCTTCCCCCTCTCCAAGTCTCAAGTTACTTGTGAATGCACAAGAATAATCTTTTTGTAATGTGTGTGTGTGTGTGTGTGTGTGTGTGTGTGTGTGTTTGCACATGAGTGCAGTGCTCATGAAGTCAGAAGGCATCAGATTCCCTGGAGCTGGAGTCATAGGTGTTGGTAAACCTGAACTCAGGTTCTCTTCAAGAGCAGTCTTAACTGCTAAGCCATCACTCCAGCCCCACAATAATAATCTTTATTCAGTATTTTTTAATGTTTATTTATTTTTATTTTATATGTTTAAGTGTTTTTGCCTGCATGCACATAAGTGCACCAGTGTATGCAATACCCATGGAGGCCAGAATAGGGCATCAGATCTCCTAGAAATGAAGTTAGGGACAGTTGTTAGCCACTATACAGATGCTGGGAACTGAACCTGGGTCCTCTGCAAGAGCAGCCAGTGCTCTTAACCACTGAGCCATCTCTCCAGACCCCATTCAGTATCTTTTTAGGATTTACTTATTTTTATTTTATGTGTATGAATATTTGCATGTGTGTATACTATGTGTGTTTCTGGTGCCCCAAATACCCATGGAGGCCAGAATAGGGCATCAGATCTCCTAGAAATGAAGTTAGGGACAGTTGTTAGCCACTATACAGATGCTGGGAACTGAACCTGGGTCCTCTGCAAGAGCAGCCAGTGCTCTTAACCACTGAGCCATCTCTCCAGACCCCATTCAGTATCTTTTTAGGATTTACTTATTTTTATTTTATGTGTATGAATATTTGCATGTGTGTATACTATGTGTGTTTCTGGTGCCCCAGGAGGCCAGAAGAGGGTGTCAGATTCCTTGGAACTGGAGTTACAGATGGTTGTGAGCTTCCATGTGGGCACTCTGGGAACTGAACCCAGGTCCTCCACAAGAGCAGCAAGTGCTCTTAACTACTGAGCTGTCTCTCCAAGCCTAGTATTTTCTTTTTTCTCTATTCCCCATTAGAGACTATGACATCCCCAGAGATTTTGGTTTGAGGTTTTTTTTGGGGGGGGGGGCAGTTAGACAGGTCTCACTATGTAACCC